TTTTTTTTTTTTTTTTTTTTTAATATAAATCCGAGGAAAGTTATTAAATTTGTCCAACTATGACGTTAATTAGATTTGTTACACATTTATGTTTTTTTTACGTGTTCTTTTTTTTCTTCCCGTTATATTTTTTATAATTTCGCTTTTTTTATTTTCATTCTTTTTTTAATTATTTTCCCATGTACCATTGCCAATCTTGCAACAGACGCAATCAACTACCTCTCAGACTTTGTTCTCATCTTTACTAATCATACTCATTTAACGTGTATAAGCAAATCCACTTGGTATGACGGCGAATCTTAATGTTGGGGAAAGGTTTCTCACTAATATTGACTTCGCCTTTTGAATTATGTCGGTCAGACGTTACATACGCGCTATACAGTGTTACTTACTATAAAAATGCTGTGTGCTCTCTCGCGATTATAGATGTGTCGAAGTAGTAGAGATCCTTCGGGCGACACGCAACGTTTCCTTCTTACGGTCTATTACAACCGGTTTACACGGTACTAACAGTTCAGTTCATTGCATTACCACTAACTCATTTTACCTCTTAGGGGCATAGCAGCGAAAACACGTATCTACATAAAGCTCATTTGTAACATTTGTCGTATCAGCTGCTATTCCCGCGTCATTACTAACCACATTCATCACAACTAACCCACTAACTTCATTGCAGCTTTTTCCTGGCAGACGACAGTCCTGGAACAATCAGAGGTGAGCCCTCCTCCTTCTGCTCTGAGCCCACCCCTGAGCGCACCTCCAATTCCAATAAGTATGAGCACTCCCGCTGAAGATGGCCCTGGTACTGGTTCAGATCCCATAATACCCGCCGAGGAAGAGGACGATGACGTTTTTGAAGCAGAACCAACTCCACCCGCAGAAGTGGAAGCTAACGCTAATAAGAGACGCAGTCAGTCGCTCAGTGCTTTGCAATCGAAAGAGCCGCAGAGTCCACTAAAGGTAAGTCAACTCCTCGACGTCGTGTCCTCGCGTACGTTCGAACAGAATTACGTATCGCGTTGCCTATTGACGAATCTCTCTCCTCACTTTCGCAGACTAAAGACAGGATACGACGGCCCATGAACGCATTTATGATATTCTCGAAACGGCACCGCGCCGTGGTGCATCAGCGACACCCGAACCAGGACAACCGCACGGTGTCCAAGATACTGGGCGAATGGTGGTACGCGTTGGGACCAGAGGAGAAGCAAAAATATCACGATCTCGCCTCGGAGGTGAAGGAGGCCCACTTCAAGGCGTATCCGGATTGGAAGTGGTGCAGCAAGGACCGGCGGAAGTCGTCGACGGCGAGCTTCAAGGGGAGCGAGACCAGGGCGAAGTTGAACAGCACGGGTGAGGAGACGGATCCCCTGCAGAGCTCCTCCTTGGAGGATCCGCTGGCGATCGCGCCCGCCGACGAAATGCCCGCCCCGATCGCCAATGCGTACAACGAAGTTCCCGTTAATATCGAAGTAAGATGATAGCCAAAGCGTCTGTGATCCTATTTTGTTCGCTCTCTACATTTTTTCCGAAGAGAGGGAGAAAGAGAGTAGTGAAGCGGAGACCGGCTTAATCGGCGGATTTTGTCGGCACAGATGATGAACCAGTCGCATACGCAACATAGAATCGCGGAGATCCCGCTGCAGGTCGAAAGTGCGGACGTTGACGTTAAACAGGACGACGACGGAAACGCGTCGGACGACGATCAGATGGTCATTTGCGAGGACCCGCCTCAGCCGGAGATAGACTTGAAGTGCAAAGACAAATTGACCGACAGCGACAACGACGTGCAGGAGGAGGACGGGGAGAAGAAGTGCTTCAACCAGTCGCAGTTCTCGCCGGTGAGCGGCCAGCAGAAGCGAGAGGCGGTCAACGTTAAACAGGAAATAACCTGCAGGCCTAAGCCGATAAAAGGTAATCTCACCTGAGCTCCGTTATCTCTCGAGCGTGCGTTCGCGCGTCTGCACTAGCGATGTAGCGAATAGATCGGGATATTGCGCTGTTTTAACCGGTGTGATTCTTCATGTTTGTATAGCACGGATACCCTCAACAGGTATAGAATCCACAACAAAATATCACCATACTTCCATGGATAAAGGCGGTACTGTATCAGTTTTGTCGAGTACGTATCCTTATCACAGTCCTGTCAATCCAACAGGAGTGTCGGGATTCCAACCGACCGGCGGCGCTTTCATAACTATGCCAATATCGCCGAAAGTTATTAAGCCGGAGCCGGTGAAGGGCGAGCAGCAGTACAGCACTCAGTACAGCGTGAACAATCTCGTAAGCATCCATACTGAGAACGGACGGAACATGCCCAAGTTCACATCGGCTCCGGTGTTGCAATCTGTAAGTATTAGACGAGAGAGCCCCGGGAGATGCCTTAGTGCACACTTTTGTCACGACACTGCCGCGTTCTTGAGAGAGAGAGAGAGAGACTCACGCACCTCAAGTGTCGCACAAACGCGATATTCCGCATGATAAACGGATCTTTGAGAGTAGATTACGTTCGTTACGCGCGTGTGGGAGAATTCAGGACGGAGCGAGTCCATAATTTTCAAGTCCGGATCTACAGTAAGTGCGGCAAGGTAAAAGTACCGACAAGCTGACAATGGGAAAGCTAATCTAACTCTGGACGTTCTTATCGTTCTGCTCTTGAAGTTTCAAGTCACGAACAAACAGAAATAAAGCTAAATTTCAATTGGCATACACTGACAATTCACGTCTGTTATCATTAACAATGCGACTAGTGCGGCTTTATACTTGTTCAAGGTCATTGTAACAGCTGAGTGAAATGACGTCATAGAAGATATCTTTTATAGAATGATAGTTCCTTAACGTAATTCGATCAATAGATGAGTCGTATTATAAAGCTGATCCTCGGAATTCAATGAAATGTAAAAAATTTAAAAAATGCGTCTAATAATATTGCCAGGCACTGTATGTATATTATTCAGTATGTTGAAAGTTCACATATTTATATTTAAAGACCGAAAGAATGTCCGCACAGTTAGGTACGTGTCCAGGCATTGGCACTTTTATCTCAAATCTTCAAAGCTTTTTATTCTAAACAATAAAATGTAACATAGTTTCTGACAAAAACGGCGTTTTCTTGCGCTGTCAAAAGTCATAATAACGCTATAAAATCTTAGGAATTAGGCCACGTCTGGTAGCACTTCATCGTCATCATCACTCTGCCAGAAATTACGTTACGATTTAACGCTTAGAGCAAGATGCTAAAGTTTCACTTATTGTGGATCCAGCCTTAAGGCCTGTCTTAAGTACGAAGGCACGTCTAAGGTGGGCCTTGAAAGTTATCGATTATGGCCGATATTTGGACATGTAAAATTGTGCACTTGGTTCACCATTACTCTCTTTGCTCTGCACCTTTGACAATACAGATTATCTCAAAGAAGACACCGGACGTTTCTTTCAATTGCAGCTTCTTAGATCGATATATTTGCGCACATACAGGGCAGTATTAGTCTAAAAAGTTCGTAGACAAAAATCTTTAATTCGGACACATCAAGTGCATCTCCGTCGAAATATCGTCGCACACTTATTTCAGTGTCTTTATTCTATCATCGAAAATATTCCTGGAACTTTTCTACTTAAGATACTTGAAAAATATCTCTATTTTCCGCTCGATTGCTTCGTACGTGTCTTGGAATTGTACTCGTAAATCCACGAGCCATGAATACCCTCGCCGAAAGTAAAACGTTTATCTGCTGTTTCGTAATATTTCCACCCGCTGCATTCGTACAGCGCGAAAAAGAAATTTCACAAAATAACAACGCGGACACTGATCGGTCGGTTGCGACAATGTTCTCACATGAGGAGAACAAAATGTCCACGAACTTTTACGACGGGCCGGTATTCGTGCGATCGCTCGTTGTTTTACTCGCGCCTCCTCTCAGTTTTTTCCCCCGCCCCGCGAAGTTCCCGTCGAAGTTGTCGCGTTTCGAATCACGGGGGCCGATTATCCGCTTATTAAGAAAGTAGTGCGCACGTTGTACCCCTCTGCGAGATTAGTTTACGCCGAGCGAATTGTGCTGAGGATTCAGGAATCACGTTAACGAGTTTAACAATACTAACAGATTGGATCGAAACCTATGATGGCGCTGTTGAAACAACAGCAGCCAACGTTGCAGTCGTTAGGCACTACTCTTCGTCCCCTTACTTCAACTGTCCCTTATCAACCACCGTTCACTCTAACATTGCTCGATAACGATTTGGTGGCTGTTTCCAAACCGCAGCAGGGATCGCAGTACCTTAACCCGACACCGCCGCACTCCAGGATGTACGGTGGATTCCAGGTACCCATCTCTGGTGAGCATCGAGAACATGCATTTTCCGTCGCGTTTCATCTCGCGGCACTGTCGCGTCCGAACGAACGAATCTGTGATCCGTTTGCAGACGCCGGTAATCGCAACAACATATCCGTGCAAAGCTTGGTCCCCAATAACAAGATGGAGATCCAGAGCGTGATCGTGAGCAAGCCCTACCCGGTCTCGACGAATTCCACCACGTCGACTTACCGAGGGATCGCCCATTCCATAGCCCGCCTCGCGGAATCCGAGAACAGCGACAATCAGCTGACCGCGAATCACGCTCAGTTTTACGGTAATCATCAGAACGGACTTTTCTTATCTCTCATGACCAGGGATGTTGCGATACACCATGAAGTAGGATACTAATATTGAAACGGGTGTCTAGTCAAGAACGTAGGTACCATTTGCGACATTGGTATTGGAAGAAAAATATCAATGCCGATACTGGTATCGAAACTTGACAAGAATTTTAAAGAAATATAAAAATCTGGGAAGTGTTTGTCCTTACGAGCTTTTAAAGATTTCGTATGTCTACGCATAATAATGTTACCACGATATAAAGATACTTTTACTTCCTGCAATTTCTACGGCTTGTGATTTAAAAAGGATGTGTTTGAGAAGAGATGGGCGAGTAAAAAAATATCGACACTTCGTAAATAAAACATCGATACACCAAAAAATGAGATCACGTCAGGCCAACACTATCCTATATTTTGTATCGATACTTTTATTTACGACACGTATAGATATGAAATATCAGTAATTTTTTACCGTACCGCATCTCCCTATATTCATCCTTACTGTGAAAACTATATGAAGAATTTAAAAATAATATATCAAAACAAAGTAGTACCGATATGAGCACGAATATCCGAAAGGAAGTATCGATACAGAAAGAACCCCGGTATTGAAAGAAAAATATTAATACCGGTGTTGTATCTCAGTGAGTATCACAACATCCTTACGTGCGACTTTTGCGCGCTGTTACTCTCGTACGATTCTCACGGACGTTGTGCTTTGTTTCCCCTCCCGTCGCCCGCTGCAGTCAGCAACGTCAAAACGGAGGACAGGAAGGAGACCGTGAACATCGTTCTGCCTGCAAATAACGACAAACACAAGCAACCGTCGACGCCTCACACGCCGCAGACGCCTCAGAGCAATCATGGCGGCGGTGATCTGCCGTCGAGTAAATCGTACTCGTTCGATGAGAGCCAGAACAACGACATAGGGCCGAGCAAGGGCCCCTTCATGCTCGCTCCGACTCCGGCGCAACTCGGTCGCGCGCCACTGCAGAGGAGACAATCGATGGGTACGCAAAATAATACGTCCTGGCTTTGGCATTGACGCAGTGTTTACCTTAGATGATTGCTTTAGATCCGTCTAAATGAAGATGAGACGAAAATTCGAAAGATTCATCTTAGATGAGGTGACATGTTTTTTTTTTTCTTAAGATGAATACGAATATGTTTTGTATTTCTTCCATCTAGATAAAGATGATCTATTTATTCATCTGGATGATTATTTAATTTCATATAGATACCGGCGAACACTACATCAACGCAAAAGCGATAAATGTCGGTTACGGTGGAGAGTGTACGTTGACACATTTGCATCACCACAGTAATCCACTACTGTTTTTGTTCTTCGCTGCTTTTCTCTATCGGCTTCCTCCGGTCCTTTCTCCCCTCTCATTACCCTCTGTTCTTTTCTCTTGCAATAGCACTGCCTCCCGCTTCAAATGCCGGGGATCATGGGCCAATGACATCTCAGCACTGTGACAGTCGACCGCAAGCGAACGCGTCTCAGACGTCAGAGCAGACGCAACAGCAAAGTTTGGCAGAATCTCACACTTCCCCCTCTCCATCCACTAAGAAGGCTTCCTTCTTCAAGAAGAACGTAGAGGATGGTATGGACAGGTACTGTCGAGACGGCATCTCTTCAATGCGTCTCTCTGTACTCTGAAGAGAATTGGGCTTCATTTGTTCCTTTCATTCTCGACGCTTTTTCTCTGTGCAACTCGGAAATATATCGCAATATCAGATATCCGACGATGTACGCTGAACGCGTATCGATGGTATGTTTGCAGAGTACTCGAACAAGTGAACTTTCAAGAGAAGTTCTCGTCGTTGCCGGAATTCAAACCGGGGGATATACAGAGTCCGAGTGCGATCAGTATAAACACTCCGGGCTCGTCTAGCCACAGCAGCGTAGCTTCCGGGTTACATTCGTCGAATTTGCAAACTTCGATGCAGATGCCAGGTTATCGAAAAAAATCGGCACCAGGACCTCATAGGCCCACAAGTAATATTCCAACGAACGATTTGCTAATCGTGCTGTTGCGTTTAAGGCTCCTGATTATTCGCTGTCCTTGTTCAGTGAAGTCAGAAGCGAGATAACGCAATACTAAGAATCGATAAATTAACTCGATATTGAACTTTCCTTTCTCATGTCGGTGCTAATTTTACGATTATTTATCGATTGTTCGAGTAAAAGGAAAGTGTTCGTCCAATTTTACAAGTATGCTGATTCGATCACAAAATGCCATTTTATGGGTAATCTTTTTATTTGAACGTATAACGCAAGTGATCTGTTCTTTATAGGTGAAACTGGCTGCGCTAATTTTACCACCCTTCTTTTTATGCGATGTTACGGCTTTTCTTTCAAAAATATGCGCTAATTGCGCGACAAAGAACAGACCTAAGAATTCTTGGCGTGCGTTCTCTCGCCTCTGACGTCATCAAACAAAGACGCGTTCACGTGTACATAATTTCCGTGCCAATCAGTTTGCGTTTGCTCTTCAACAGTGAATGAGGACGAGATCGACTCGGACACATCGATATCAGCTACCCCGAAGTCCACGTCGAGCGTCAAGCTGACGGGCAACACCTTCTTCGGGCCGGATTTCAACGTCGACGCGTACCGAGCCAACAACGATCTGATCGACGTAGACGCCAGTTCCCCGCGAACGCCGAAAACCCCCGGTGGCGGTGGCGGGAGCGCCGTGGGGATCGGCAGGAGCGACAACGAGCGCGGCCATAGGAAGATCCTGGAGCAGCGCCGGCATCTGGTCATGCAGTTATTTCAGGAACACGGTTACTTCCCATCCACGCAGGCTACTTCCACGTTTCAAGCTAAACATGCGGATATATTTCCTACCAAGACGAGCTTGCAATTAAAGATCCGGGAGGTCAGGCAGAAAATGAAGGCCAATTCGACGCCGATGAGCGCTAACAGCCTCGTCAGTCCATTGCCAGTCTCCGAATCTTCACCTGTTGTAACTGGTAAATATAAGAAAGAACGAACCGTTTGAGTCATCGCTATCATTTCTCTCGTTCTTCTGTTCCTTTTCCGTGGGTACCACGTTAACGATTATCACACCTCTATTGGCACATTTCTCGGAAGTGGATTTATCGGGAATCTAAAAGAATACTCCAGACACAGACGATAATAACCACTGAGTGCTCACTGAACTACTTTCTCCGCAACGAACGCAGCCGGCGTTTGGTCCGTTCTTCTTGGCTGAACTCGGGCTGCACCAGTTCTCAAGAAACGTAAGCACACTGAAGCATGAGAATCTCGTACGTACGTTTTATATGCTTCGATATGTGTGTAAATTTCCCGAAGTAGCACGACCAGTTCAGCTCAGATGAACGGAGACCGGTAGTACGCTTCTTTCTTAAACGACCGATGTTTCTTCTCAGGTCCATTGACTGCTCCTCCAACATCGATGGGAGCTCCACATTCACTGCCTGTAAGCAGTAGTGGTAGCTAGCACCCACGTGCCAACTGTGATACTATGCATCCCCTTACTCCACAACACGAGTACATCATTATCCTTTGAAGAGGGCAAAGTGTTTTTAGAGAAATATCGTTAGTGCACACGACACATCTCTTCGAAACTTTGTAAAGTACTCACATGCGGAAAGGCTTTAGTGCAATTTTAATTGAGACCTGGTGCGGCTAACTTGGCGCGGACATGCTGAGGCGTGTTGATATATAAGTGTCGGCCGACTTTGTACATAATATCGAGGCACGATTTGCACGTTCGTCGACGCTTCCCCGTCGTCGGCTGCTTCCTCGGAGTGTATGTGTGTATCTGTGTGTGTGTATGTGTGTATGTGTGCGTGCACTCGCGGTTGCTCGGGTTCGTAATCGACTGCGACGAGGAAAATTATTGTAAACGTCGTTTTCACGTCGGACGGATCGCCCTGGAATAAACCTCATGGCGGTTTGCGTTCTCGTCGTACGTGAGCTGGAGTTCGCGCGATCCGTGAGACGAGCTCTTTCCTCTTCGAAACGAAAAGACAATATACTGCGCGCTGCATACGAGGATCCGAGGATGAGATTTTGGGAGGAACGTGAGAACAATGAGAGAAGAAGAAAAAGAAGATGAAGGAGAAAAAAAACATATACGACGTTATTTTAATACATCTTGAAATCGCCATTCGTGTTTCTCCGTGCAATTCTCAATCGTATATAATTGATATTTGTACATCAACACGTCCTGCGTGATTCATGAAAGGCCTAAGCCATTGTTAAATATTGTTGAAAATACTATGAAACTCAGAGAGAGAGGAAAAGGGAGAGAGAGAGAGAGAGAGAGAGAGAGAGAGAGAGAGAGAAGAAAGCAGGAAGAGAGAAAATCGTAATTGGAGAATATTATGGAACATAGAGTTAACGGAACATTATAAACGTGAGAGAATCAGAGTTTATATACCTTAGTTATACTTTATATATTATATAGGTCCAAAAAAAAGAAAAAGCTAAATAGTATGAAAACTGCGATAAACTGCACAAAATTTCGGTGAACAATCTCTGACGGAATTAACAGAGGTCGTTTCACGCTTGTACATATTACAGAATGATCTTGAGGGTAGTGGGAGATATCTGAACAGTTGAAATGTCTACAATTCTCTATCTGAAGAATCGTGAAGGTGATCGCATTCTATGGTGATTCATAGATTACAATAACAGCGGAAATATAGGAACCGTGCCATTGTGCGACGACAGGAGGAGCAAAGGGAATGCATGCGCTGATAACTCCCTTATTAGCGAAGGGATAACTGTTAGACGACTCTTTTGACATAGATAATATGTAACATGTTTCCAAACATTATTGAAAGTACTTATTCTACTGTTTTTAGAACCTTGCTAAAAATCAATGCTTTAATCTGTAATTTTATTGTAGAATTTTTCTTTTTTTTTTTTTCTTTTTTTAAGCGGTCCTTGCTTTTCCCCGTTTATTATCATTATTATTATTTTTTTTTTTTCGTTTTATTTTTCCCTCTCGCTGGCCTTAGAATCTAAGTGCTTTTAAGCAGGCCTTAATTTTTTTTTTTCATTTTTTTTTGGCCGTGACAAATACGCATTTTTATTGCTATATGTCTTTATATTGTACATCCGTCACGTACTTAACACGTACCATCGCAAAGAGGCAAGAACAAAAGTCGATTAATTGTTACGATATTCAAATGTCGATATACCGATTTTTAATGCGCAGTTACCATACATCTCATCAACGCGTGCAGCACCCTTTTATACCCGAAGCATAAAAGCATCTACGTTGAACGATCAGTACACACATATACATAAATGTATATATTGAGTTGAGTCGGATCAGTATTGTTATATCGTCGTTTTAATAAGTTTTGCCGTTTATTATCCGGACGATACGGTGTATCGCGCATATTCGTTTTAATTACCATCTTTTACTGATCCAACTTCCTTCTCTTTCCTCCCCCCCCCTTTTTTTTTTTTTTTTAAAGCCGTTGAAGCTCTCAGAACTATCGCGTTGAATTTTAGCAAGGGTTGTTGAATTTGGCTGTAAAGAAAATAGACTATGTATAATTAGTGATATGTTTATAAAAACGAAAAGCGCACCTCGAGAGGTTGAAGTCTCGCGCCACGGCACGTATATTGTAGTTAGGATATGTGAAGTAGTGTCTATTCTACATATATTTTGTAAATAGAGAACATACGATACACTAATTGAATATATACATAATATTATATAATATATATATATATATATATGTATATACGTTATATAGTATTATATATATGTACACATACACACACACAACACATAAATTTAGGATGTAACGGAGGTGTGGTAGAATATATAGTATTGTAATTTGTAGAATTATAATTATGAGGAAGAAAGCGCAGGATTTAAGCTTAGGATAATTGCAGATTATGGGCCTTCATCTGTAGTGGACTCTTGTGCTCGGGACGGTCCTCCCACCCTTCTCCAAAGTCTAATCCTTTCCTAAAGCGTTAGGGGATACGCGATTGTTTGTATATAATATAATTATATTATCGTCCTATCGTCCTATCTCTTGATTTATTATTATTATTTTTTACCAAGCGTTAAGCGCACTGGTGGCAAAACGGTAGTGTAGGAAGAGGGAAACTTAAAGCCTGGATTGATCCTGTGATGCTTTCGCGTTCATCATTGTCGTTACTTAAGCCAATCTCTCTCAGTTCCGTCACGGGGAAACTCCGTGCTTTCGCTTTCAGGTCCGTACTAGCGAGCTGTGTAATTTTATTACGTTTTAAAACGATTTTTATGATTGCGTTTCATGCGCGAGCGATCGTATTTCGAAGGCTACCGTATGTTATTGTGAGAGAATATTTTACGGAGAATATATACATGCGTGCATTTACGTCGCGTGTCATGAGATGTGCAAGAGATCGTTTTTATTTAATTGGGTTGAATACCAAGGAAATGTGTCTTGTTCAATGAGATTCGTAGAAACGTTTTAAGAAGATACTTTTTATCAGGAGAATATTTTAAATACGGAAGTGCTCAAGTCTTACTGTGTGTGTATATATTTATGCGCAAGAAATCTGTTTTACACAGATATCTATATAGCGGATTTATCCTATCGAATACACATATATATATATACCGATATATCTGTGTGTTTACATAGCTGAGCAATAACGAAAGAAACCGTGCATAGTAAACAGACTGCTTAAACAATTGTCAGAAAGAGAAATTACCACTTTACTGTATACGCACTCTTCGTAAAAATCTTTTTAAAAACGAGATATCATTCAAACACATCATTCTTCGCCTTTCGATGAAGCAGGATCTTAACAGGGTTTGAATATCTCTCGCACTCTAGCCCATCTCAAAGAGTTTAAAACGAAAAAAAATACTATATATTTTGTACTTGCGTAAACTAGCGAACTACTTTCCAGTATTTATAAGATTCTTAAATGAAATACTTTGATATCTTCTTCCCCCTTTATTTCACATGGTGATGAAATACGTTCCGTGATTTAGCAGCCATGAATGTGACTGTGATCTAGGAAAACAGAAGTAAAGTAAAAGTGGCAGCTACTCTACTGACTATTTCTTCACCACATGACTTTCTTCCTGATCCCTTCCTCTTTATATTTCTTCCTCGATCGCTGTATAAACGAGTATGCACTATAAATCGAGCGCTTCTTTACACCGTTCTTTTTTATTATTATTATTATTTGCGTTAGACGTATTTTTACTATGCTTAGCCGCTACTGATTTACCGTAATATTCATTATTCTTTATTATTTCTTGTTTAATTTTGAAATATTTTTAAAATTGTTATGTAATTATATATATGAGTCAAGATTAATGTTAATGGAAAAAAATATACGAAGCATACAAAAGTAAAACAATACCATAGATAGCAGTGGTAAACAGTGACTCTTATGTGTATCCATGCAGTAAGAAAACTTCACGTCGGACACATCGATACACTGTACGCGATGATGTACATGCATATACATGTGTGTGTGGGGGAAGGGGGGTAATGAAGTATAAATATGAATATATATATATATATATATATATATATATATATATATATAAAGAAAAAACTATTAAACACAATCGCATATATGACATGGCATATATTATATATGTATTATAGGAGAAGAACGTGTGTATGTGTGTGTATATATATATATATATATACATGCACTCTCGGCTGAGGCATTAAAATCTGCACCAATCCAACGAGAAACACAACAGTTAGTCCGCTTTTTACCCTGAGACTCGATCGACTTAAGCACCCCATGTTAATCCAGTCAGTGTCGGTGAAGCAATATCTCCGGGAGTGTATCTTTAAGTACGAATTGTATATCTCGGTGCATCTGTGTGTGTGGTCGATTCCACGAGGCGTCTCCGCGTGGAGAAAACGGTGTCAGGGATATGCGCGGACACACATTTTTATTATCCGATATCACGACAATTCTATATACGACATCTCACAATCGTACGACCATCAGTCGGGATCATGCGATGTCACTGTTCAGCGGGTGATTATTTCGGCGGGATCATTCTTTTATACTGTGTACTAATTGTAATATTGTTTTACCGTTGTGCCTGTATCGATATATCTCGGAACTCACCATACGACTCGATTGTTTCGGCACATATGCTCAAAAGAAAAAGGAAAGAGGGAAACGGCAGTGTTCGCATGCGGCTAATAAGCATGTACCGATGTGACGATTGGCAGATTTTAACACTGACGCCCTTATATACGAGAACCAGTTGTTGGACCAAATTGCCGATACAACGGCCATTTTGACTTACAAATGCGTTTTACTTTTTCTAAGGAGCGATTTTTGAGCGAGAGAGAGAAAGAGAGAGAGAGAGAGAGAGAGAGAGAAAGCGAAAGAGCAGAAAGTGAGATAAGAAAAAATTATTCGAACGGCACTGTGACATTTACCGGAACGCAACCCGTTGCACCGAATCTGTGTACCTGCCAAAATCGACGAAAGAATAGAAAAAGCGCCTCGCCCGCGACTTTCTGTATGACGCAAACGACCGAACGCGTTCTTTTTCCGATCGATGAAACAATTCACCGTGTAAGAAGGAAGATTCTGATCTGACGAAAACTCGGAAGTGTTTGGGAGCTCCATCATGTGTTCGTTCACATCTCCTGAGAATAATCACCTCCTTCCGTTTGAGCGAAAGACCGATTATTTTCCCATCGAGATTCCCATGTTGAAAATTTCCAGGTGGATTCCCATAGAAATGCAAGGGATTTTATGTAAACCCATCATAGGATATTAAAAATCCATGTAGGAATTCATGTAGCGTGTGAAAATTTATATAGGAATCTACGCGACCGGGAAAGAATTGTCCATATATAATTATATATAAGATGCCATATATATATATATATTTATATATGGACATATTCTATATATAATTGCATATAAGACATTTTTCTTCTGGTGCAACTATGAGATTCCATACGGATTATCACCTGGTATTTTTGAACATAGTCTCTCACGATCATTCTCGTGTCACATGATTGTCGAAAGTTCGCGACCCCCCCCTCCTCCCCTCCCCCGAGCAATCGTATAAATGTCACATTGTCAGCTCTCTTGAATATTTCCGTATCTCACATTCTACGTAAATTATTTCGTCGTGATGTTCGTGTCTGCTCAGTAATAAGTCGTAGTATTATGGCCGCGATGTGGAATCACACGAGGGATCCCTTCATATTATTTCGGCGAGATATACGTTGCTGCTATATATATAAACGACCATAATTTTATTACGCGAGGTGTATTATACGAAAGAAAGAAAGAAAGAAACAAGTCTACTCGTAACTCGATATTGTGTAAAGGCTATATTTTATTATTAAGATGGAAAGAAGTGTTGGTAGATTATCTCATGTCTGGCCAAAGTATTATTACGCTGATGATAACATATGTTACAATATCGGTTTTTATAAATGTAGAGTTGGCATGTGCTTTTCTTTCGGTTAAACATAATCACCGCAAAGAGAGAGAGAAAGAGAGGGAAGGAGGGAGAGGAAGGGAGCTGTAACTTGTTGAACGAAGCGCATAAAAGGTAAATCTTTTTTCCAATACACACTGAAGTGCATTGTTCTTGGTGGAGACATCTTAAGGGCCTCTGTACATTAGTATTAATGATACCACGATAAAGAGAGAACGACGAGAGAGAGAGAGAAAGAGGGGAGAAAAACGATGACGATGATGATGGAAAAAAAAAAGAAACAGAAAGAAAATTCTTAGCACATTATACCGATTACGAGTTTTCAGGAGGCAGATAGATAAACGGAATATTATATATACACGGAAAAATATTCTTCATCAGATGTATATTACAGAATCATATATATTATATACTGATGTCTGATTATAAAATATTGAACAAGTGTTATCAAATAAAATGTTGTAATCTGTGTTGACAATCGCCGATGTTCTAAGCTCGACACGACCGTTCACGGAGTACGGATGCCTTCTTCGGCGGAAGAGCGTTTTATCACGCGAGTGCAGGACGCGTCCGCGAACAAAAATTGTGTGGGTCGTCGGCGAAGGTCGGCGTAATTTTTGTCCCCGGACGCGGCCAGAAGAGATCTCTCCTCGTTTTTCCCGGGTCGAGGAGAGAGAGAGAGAGAGAGAAATGTTGCGAGACGCGCGAAGAGATCTCGATGTGTGTTGAGAGAGAGAGAGAGAGAGAGAGAGAGAGAGAGAGAAAGAAGTCGGATGTGTATATATTTTCTTAAATCGTTATTACAGAGCCCGCGATCCCGGCGGATCGCGATTGAATATAAAATAATAAAAGGAAAGAAATGCAGTTTAATAAATAAGATCTGTAGATGGACACAGAGTCTCCACGTTCATTGTCGCCACTTGTGCTTCACTTGGACGCGGCGTTCTCCTTCTGCTTTTTCTGCTTCTTCGTCTCGATCTCGTCGATCGGCGCTGGCTTGACGAACGGGATCTCACTTTCGTAATTGGGGGGCATGTAGCGCGCCAGGACCTTCGGCACTTTGACACCGACGTCCGTTTGATGCACCTCCAGGATCGCGCAGATGACGCGCGTCACCGCGCACATCGTCGCGTTCAACATGTGAACGTAGTCCGTCGTGGTATTCATCTTCTTCGTTTGGCCGTACCTGGCGGGATTTTCGGGAGTCTTAAGTGAGTTGCAGGTCGTGAAAGCAATCGAGTCAACTGGGTCGCCACGGAAAGCGTACCTTGAAATTCCCCGACTTTCCCGTGCCTCCCGGACGACGGTGGAGAATTTTCCACCGAGCATTATACAATCTTAAGCGTAGTCCACAATGGGCAATGGGAATATGTTTGTAAGAAAGAATAAGAAATCGACCGATTTTATTCGAACGTAAAGGGAATAATTGACTATGATTGGTTTAATTTCTTATTCTTATTTCTTACAAATATACTCCTACTGCCTATTGCAGACCACGTTTTCAACTTAAATGTTTCAAAGAAGCAAGAAAGATAAGTTGTATTATCAGAAGTGACGCGAACTTATAAAAGTTTAGTAACATAATATAATCCTGAGTGCAAATTCAGGCTCTTGAGGAAAATTCCAAGTTCCAGGTTTCCCCTGGCACTTGAAATCTCCACTTTTCCTGGCTTCCCAAGTCCGTGGTAACCCTGATATAAATCAATCGCGTCCACTCGACTCGTATATTCGCTCACCTGACTAACAACCTCCTGGCTTGGTAGTCGAGGCAGTTGCTGCAGGACACGAGTTCGCGGAACGCGCGGGAGCCGGGGAACCAGGCTTCCAGGTCCAACTTCTTGGAGGCCGCGTGATTCAACGCGCCCGACACGATACAGACTATGCGATAGGGGATCTCCAGGGCCTGGTAGAACTCCTCCGCGTTGGAGATCATCTCTTCCATCATCTCCCACGACTTGTTGTCGTAAGGCGAGGTGAGGCAAAATTGCTCGACCTGCGAACGGGAAGAAGGAGAGAAAAAAAAAAGCATCTCGAGATGGGATTCACTTCGCTTTGTGGAGCGAGAGTTCCCGTTCGGATACCTTCTCAAACTGATGCACCCTGAAGATACCCCTGGTGTCTCGACCGTGAGAACCGACCTCCTGCCTGAAGCAAGTCGAGATGCCGGCGTACTTGATCGGCAAAGCGTTCTCAGCTATCCACTCGCCTCTGTGGAAAGCGGCTATCGGCTGCTCGGACGTGGCGATCAGATACTTCTCCTCCAGTTCCTTGTCCTCGTTGCGCTCGCTACCCTTGCCGACCACCTGACACGACAAGAAGTGACAATTGCAGTTATACTTGTACCCAAGTGACTTCTTCTTCGCTTGAAATGGGAGAAGTCCCCAAAGTGCTACTGTACACTAATTTATATTAATAATAAACACCTTGTACAATTCCTCGTCGAACTGAGAGAGCTGCGCCACTTCCTGCATCGCGTCTTTCCGCATGACGAACGGCGTGTAAAGAGGTTTGTAACCTTTGTCGGACAACTTCCTCAACGCCAACTGCATCAAGGCCTGTTGAAGGAACACCGCTGGCCCGGTGAGGAAGTAACCTCGTCCACCGGACACTCCCGTCCCACGTTCCCCGTCCATCCCGTCGATCATGTGGATCAGGTCGACGTGGGAGTACTTCTTCTTCATGCTGCAATCTCCCCAAGTTCTTTCCACCTGAAGTACAAGAAATACAAGAATGAGCGTTCGAGGTAAACCATTGTAACTCGTTCCAGTTACGAGTCGAGAAACAGACCGTCCGTTCTTACCTTGTTCTCTTCTTCGTCGTCGCTAACGGGCACAGATTCGTGCAGATGGTTCCCCACTTCTCTGAGAGCGTTGTTCCTCTCCAACTCGGTAGTTTTCAGGTTCTCATCGTTCCTCAGTATCGCCTCGTCGATCAGAGTACGTATTCTCTTGATCTGCACCACCGTCAGCGCCTTCAGGCTGTCGGAGGTCAAATTATCCAGGTTGTCGGCGATCGCCCGGGGCACCGTGTCGTCGTCGCCGAGCGGCTCCTTCCTCTTCATCTTCTCGCCGATCTCCCTGCTGCACAGGTTCTTCAATTTGTTGAAGTTGTCGGCGCGATGCCTCAGCTGCCGCCAGTGCTTGTCCTTCTCGATAACGGTGTCCACCAGCTGGACATCCTTGAAACGCCTCCTCTGGTTGTCCCGGATCTTCTCCGGCTCGAAGCCCTTGTCCTCGCGGAACAGGTCCAGGTCCAAAACCATCCTTCGCGACTTTCGAGCCCCGGTTCCCGGTGGATACGCTGCCGTGCACGTGACGATTCACCAGCTGTCGGATGAGATCATAAAATTCGGTATTTCTCGCGTGGATATCGAGATGCTGAATGACATTTTTCTCTCTTTCTGTGATTTATGGAATGAATTAAATATTTACCTAGGCTGTTTCCTCGTCTTCGAGGGTCAACGATGAACGTTTTTCGAGACAGAATACCCGGTGACGACTCACTGACACACGTCAGACGCAAGCGAGAAGCGGTGCTAAGCGAAGTGACGAAACACGAAAGACGTCTGTTCTCATTCGCCTCAGAGAGTCGCTCTGTCACATCTATCTAACTTTATCGCTCGTTATATGTAAAACAAGGATAGATGGATAAGGATAGAATATCATAAGACATAACGGCGCTGATAGCGTGTTCCCGGAACGCAGCCTTTATTCCGCCTGCCGGAGACGAGATATATTTGTGCGGATGTTTCGAAAATCGCGATGCATTGAAGAAGTTTTGAACTGTGCGAAGTGCGAGTAAATGTAAGACTTAATACGTAGACTTTATACGTAGACGTTCGCCACGTAGGCAAAGCTGAAAAGGATCGGTCGAGCACGAAATTCAAAGAAGCAAAATTCAGCGGGCATTTCACGGGTCTCGATGTACGTTCGTTCCATATTCATTTCGGTTTATAAGAAATAAATAAACGTCAGATCGGAGAATGTATTCGAAAGCTGAAGACTTCAAGCTACAAAATGCCTCTTGAACCATTTCAATAATGTTATTCTTGTCAAAGTTACGGCAAACTTTGCCGATATTTCATGTAGAGTAAGAAGACGTCTGCCCCGCTGTTGAGCAATACTACTTAAAAAATGAAATATCGGGTCCGATAAATATAACGTTTTTGCCGGTCTCGCAGCGATTATTAGACCCGTTATTTTTACTAGTTCCTAAATCCACCACCAGAGCCATTGGTGGTCACCACTAGAGCCAGTGCGGTCTACAATGAAAATTTCCGACGTTGAGACATTGACCACTCGCAGTCGAATCACAGATGAAAAGTCAATTATGATTGGTCAATTATTGGTTTTAAATTCTCATTGTAGACCCTGCTTTACTTGACTGGATGAAGGCCGGTATTTATAGTCAGGGGCTCAATTTTTGAATCATTCACGACAAACGCCGTAATACAGATAAAAAACGGGCATTTTCTCACTTTTTAAGTAGTTTATCGGTGTGTCAGACGTCGTTTTACCCTACTTTGACAAATTTCAACAGGCTGTAACTTCGACAAAAATAACACCATCGAGATATTTCGAAAAGCATTTTGCAGCTTGAAGTTTCTACTTCTCAGTCATATATTAATTCCGTAACTTTGCCGTTGTTCTCTCCGAGATATAACAAGTTAGGCAAAAAGTAGCAATATTTCGATTTTCAAGCCCATGTTGCAATTGAATTTTCACATTTCAAACATTTGTTTTAAGTATAACATATGCACTTTAAAGAGGGAAACTTTCTACTGATTTCTTCAACAAACCGTCGTATATCGATTTCTTTTTCACTTTCATTAATTACGGATCGTTCGTTAGTATTCGGGTAAGAAGGAAAAAAGAAATCAAGAAGCTAATCGAACATTTGAGGAAAGCGGAATGTGGAACATCTCTATTTATCGGTCGATCATCGGCCATCTCTAATGATTCACGTACCTCATGACGCGTGTTTGCCCTCTCTAGCGCGCACCGTCGCGTCTACTCTCTCTCACACAACTCTGGCAATATAGTAAAGAAGTGGCATCCTGTTTCGGGGTATTATACTTAGATGGCAAGATAAAACGGCAATATTTTGTTCGCACTGGCGCGCGGGGTGCGTGTCGAGATGTAATTAGTGTAAATAATTACTAAAAAGCCCGGAAAATAAAATGACAATGACATGGAAGCGGGTAAAGGAACAATTAGGAGTAGGTGAGTGATTAATTTGTGTGTTAGATTATTAACCTACCACACTTCGAAATTCCAACATCCTGGGAGGTGCCCGCCGAGTTCAGATAAAATTTTCGTTTCATTGTCTGACGATTCGGGCGGGTTCGCGCGTATCTTTCGTGACTTACACGCACCGAATTTGCGACGTTTCGTGCATGACATTTCGCACATCGGATAATTTACGAAACTATGTTGCACTCGGGTGAATACAAATGGCGAATTGTTTTGTTTAAAGTCTATATCACAACAGTGATGGGTTTTTTTCTTATGCTTATTGAAGGAAATCTTGCATCATCGCACGCATGTAACGTCGAGGAGGGCAACGTTAATTGTATTATACGTTGGAATTAATGCTGACAGTATAAATACTTCAAAGATAATGCACGTTGATTGTTTTAATAGAAGGTTCCTATTTGTTTATGTGAGAAGATTATAGAAGAAGATCCCTGTCTTCTATTACATGCTATATTGCGTGTATTAATTTTTATTTTCTATAAATGAACCACACAGTATTTATTGTTGTGTATATATAGTAGTAGTAGTCTCTTTTTCTAAGAAACTTTTATAAGTTTCTACAAGTAAAATTTCAACATTGTGTACCGTTTTCAAGTTTGTTAGTAAACATACAAAATTATGAAAATTTGTTAGTAGAATATTAAAAAAAAGTATTGCAGTTTCTAAAACACTGTTACACTTAAAAATCACCAGGAAAATAATATACTTCAAGATCAAATATATTTAATATCTTTTCTTATGTTTCATATATACTTCAGCCATCTACAATTTTGCATATCCAACCCCACATGCAATATGCTTAACGGTCGGAGAAATTGTACAAGTAACTGAAGAGTGTGCAGATTGGTACTATGGCCGCAGCAAGTTCAGGGGTGTATCTGGAATCTTCCCAAAATCCTATATACATATCTTGCCAAAATCAACCAATACGGATAACTTAGTACATGAGATCACCAGTGTTTTGAGAGAATGGGGACATCATTGGAAGCACTTATACGTAGTATGTATACAAAAGTTGCATTCAACAGAACAAAGCACTCAATCAGCAATTAGTACATCTAATTTATATATATATATATTTAGATTTTGGCTGGATATAAAAATATATGCTAGTCAAGTCTTGAAATTATTAATCACTTTGTTCCACCGGATGTAATTGATGCTTAGATAAATGTAGTTATAGTTTATACATGTGCAGTTTATATTCATCTTGAGAAGTAGATGTAGATAATTTTATGATCATTCCCTGTATAATCAGATACACTCGGAGCACTTCAGGACAATCCAGCAGCAGATTCTGGACGCGATAGGATACAGGAGCAAGATTTTAAGTGGTACACTGACAGTGGACGAACTGAAGGATATGAAGAGGCTGGCGACGGCGAGAATAGACACGGGAAATCAACTGTTGGGCTTGGACATGGTCGTGCGGGACGACCACGGGAACGTATTGAATCCCGAAGAGACGAGCACCATTCAGTTGTACTACCATCATGAGACCGCCGCGGAGAGAATAAGGAAAGCGTCCAATGACACCAAGAAGAAGCCCCACAAGCCACAAGTACCTGTGTATTCGCATATCTTTTTCGTCAGCGTGAGAAACTTCGTGTGTAAAATGGCGGAGGATGTGGAGTTACTGTTGACACTATACGACGGCCGTGAGATGAAAGCCATCACGGAGAATTACGTCGTCTCATGGAGCAAGGAGGGCCTCGCGAGGGACATTGACCAGTTGCACAACCTTCGAGTATTATTCACGGATCTTGGTTCCAGAGACTTGACCAGGGATAAGGTTTACTTAGCCTGTTATGTGATCAGGGTGGGCGGTATGGAAGCCAAAGAGATAGATCATCGTCGTTCAAGCGTAGCGCACACCAATCAGAGGCCTAAGAGCGCGGAGAACATGAGGAGGCCGTTCGGGGTCGCCGCGATGGACATCACTCTGTTTATCACCGGCAAGCTGGAGGGAGACGTCGAACAACATCATTTTATACCTTTTATACAGTAGGTACTTACGTACTTCTTCATTGCGGTAGAAACTCGGCAGGATATTCACGGATGAAGCGTTGGGAAAAAGGAGCGGAGTATAGCCGGTGCGCGAAATGAAAATCAAACGATAGAATTGTTTCGTCGGTCTTCTCGCCTTCGTTTCAGATGTTGTGAGAAAGATAGCCTCGACGGTACGCTGCGCAGGATTCTCTCGCAGAAAGAAGCGAGCGTCCAGAAGAATGTCAACGGCAATATCGCCGGTGTCACGGGCGGCCAGGGGTTGTGGACCAGCCTGAAATTGTTGAGGGGCGATCCGAAACAGGTGAGTTTCGAGGCGAAGTTATGGCTGATGATCGGGCTGTGGCGAGGGGTCATCCATCCGCTGACTTTCGGTGTAGGTACGCGACGAAAATCCCCATTTGGTGCTGGGTAATGTCGCTATTGCGCGCAAAATGGGCTTCCCGGAAGTGATTTTACCAGGCGACGTGCGCAACGATCTGTATCTGACTCTGATAAGTGGCGAATTCAGCAAGGGCTCTAAGTCGACGGATAAGAACGTGGAAGTGACGGTGGGAATTGTTTAAAGATATATATATATATATACTTTTTCTGCTTCCCTGTTTGATATATTATATTTGTATATAATATCGATGTAAGTATAAGTAGTCACAATGATGTTCCTCCAATTTCCAGGTTAAAGTATGCAACGAACACGGAGTAGCAATACCCGGAGTCATGACACTGGGCGGAGGTGCGCCCTCGATCGACGAGTATCGCAGCGTTATTTATTATCACGAGGACAAGCCCAGGTGGTGTGAAACCTTCAAGATCGCCATACCTATAGAGGAGTTTAAACAGGCCCACTTGAAATTCGCGTTCAAGCATCGTAGTTCCAACGAAGCGAAGGACAAGTCGGAGAAGCCGTTTGCTTTAAGTTACGTTAGACTGATGCAACGCAACGGGACGACTTTGCAAGATATACAGCACGAATTGTTGGTTTATAAGCTGGAGCAGAAGAAGTATGACGAGAGCGACATATCGTATTTGAAACTGCCATCGACACGCGGGGAATTGGTATGCTTGTTCATTTATCGAACACGCGAGATATCCTTATATTCGCGATTGTCTACGTTACGCGCGTTTTATTTTTTAATCTTCTTCGATTTGGATGTATTTTAGGCTGAATTGAACATGGAAAAGAAGCCGAGCTTAGGATCGTTAACGTTAAGCAGTAAGGATAATTTCTTGATAGCAACCAATATTTGCTCAACTAAATTAACGCAAAATGTAGATTTATTAGGTTTGCTTAATTGGGCGTCGCACAATACCGATTTAAAGGAGTCATTAGCTGCTTTAATGAAAGTAGACGGGGAAGAAATAGTGAAGTTTTTGCAGGTAAGATAAGTTCATTAGAATCGAACGAGATTTTATATAATACGATGTTTATGTAAAGAAAAAAAGGAAAAAAGCATAATTTCATCGAGCGATATTAATTTCCAGGATGTTTTGGACGCTTTATTTAATATTTTAATGAGCAATTCAGACAGCGATGTGTACGACGACATGGTCTTTGAGTGCCTTTTATATATCATCGGTCTTGTATCCGATCGAAAGTATCAGCACTTCCAACCAGTATTAGATTTATACATTTCTGAAAGTTTCTCCGCGACTCTCGCTTATAAGAAGTTAATTGCGGTATTGCGCAAACGTATAGACATCGTCAGCAACAACGACGGGCAGGAACGTGATTTGCTGCTTAAGACTATGAAAAGCCTACAATACTGTATGAGATTTATCGTCGAATCTCGCCTTTTGTATACCGAGTATGTTTTATTCGTCACTGCATAATCGTGCTTTGCTAAATGAGGCATTTTGTGCACGATTACAAATGATTGACAAACACGTTGTATATAAAAGGAACTTGTACAATGCAATTAATACGATTCGCTTGCGATTTGATTGCAGGTTAAATCAGGATGAAGAAGAATTCTCACAAACGTTAACTGAACTATTGCAATCTATTGTTAATCTAATGAGTTATGAAACCGACGGTACACTGTTGGTCCAAGGAGCTTGTCTGAAATATTTACCGACAACGATACCACACTTGTTAAGGGTTTACAGTGGCAAGCAACTGAGCACAATTCTGACGGATTTACTGGTGACTTTACCAGCAGGTAGACTGACCAAGCAGAAAATGATGACCGTAAATGATATCGTTCACAGTCCGCTTTTCTTGGACGTAGAATGTCGAAATATTTTATTGCCGAGGATTACTATACTTGTGAGAGACTTATTGGAAGCTAAGGAAGAGGTAAGATGTCATGAAATATACTGTTTCTTAATATTATAGGATTTCCTAACCTACAGTTTAATCAAACCGGAATGTGTACAATGTCGTTCTTTATTTATATTTCCAAAAGAATATTAGTTACAATATACGCACTTAAATATCTTCACGATACATTTAACTGTACACACATTCGCATATAAATCAACTAAATGAATTCATCTAAACTCGCAAATCATAATATAATTACTGTGACGACGGGAAGGGCTTTGTTTAATCGAAAACTCATTATGCCATAGGGAATCAATCAACAAAATACGTAGTTTCCGACGATTTGAATTAATGAGAAATATCAGAATATACTTAACGTAAAATATTTACCCTGGAAAACAATTTTATGCATGTTGACATCTATGTAAACAGATTGAAGTGAAGATAAGTAAAATTAGATGCGTATTTGTTACGTGTATTTAAAAATAATATTCTTTTATTTAATTATGATTCTTCTAATCGACAATAATACGGCGTAATATTACATTTGTAATATTCACGACCTTTTTCGCTCAAATAATTGGAACCAATATGCTTTTCTATTTAGTGAGCGTGACTTAATTAAAAAATATTGATTGATCGCTTATTGCATAATGGGCTCTAATTATGCACTATATAATATCTTTCACAGCATGTAAATTTAATATTTTAACTGTGCTAGAATATTTAATGAATTAATTACAGAAACATGGTTATATAAATAATTTGCTAATTAGATATAATTTAAAAGTTTAACAAATCATAATCATAATGACTGATATCGAAGTGTATATATAAGATGTATATATATGTCTTCTCAATTAGAGTATTTTCATTGAAATCTCGTTCATTTCAAATTCACAAAAAATACAGAAACATGATTGTACAAAAGATTTTTACGCTCCGAACTCTGGCAGGACCATACATCGTCTTTTACATGCATTGAATAGCGTTAAATGTGATGTGTTTTAAATGTTATTATTCGTGCTTTCCGTGCAGCCTGCGTCCCTCTCGCCACGCATCTTTCTATGAATCTTGTGAAATTCTCTTCTTATACGGAGGATGTCTTTTTACTTCTGTTTGAAGTTTCGTACGAATTGTCTCTTGGTGTAACACTTTTTTATTCAATTTTGAACCTAGTCTCTCTCTCTCTCTCTCTCTCTCTCTCTCTCTCTCTCTCTCTCTCTCTCTCTCTGGTTTTAATATAACTTTGTAGTTTTTATATATTAAAAAAATACAATATCGTGCTATGTACAAATATTTGAAAAAAGGGAAAATTCACAATAATCTTGGAAGTTTGATAAGTTGGACAGTTTGCACTATCAGAAAATACATCATATTGAAAGACATCCTTTATACTTAATCTCGGTAGAGCATGTTAGAAAAAAAAATGTATATCTATTGAGAACATAGAATTTCGACTGTGGCATGTGTTTGTCTAAGGATATGATTACCGCATAATGTTCACCCTGCATTTCACAACAGGCTTTTGGATGTTAAATCATCTAATTGGATAGCATTTCGTTGAATTCTTTATCTTTCTATTGCGACAGGAACCTCTCCTGGAATACTTCGCACATAATTTAGTGAATTTATGTCGAGGGGAAATTATAATTGTGACTTTTTGTAAATGTAATTTCGTACATACTACATAGAAACTTACGATACTATGGAAACACTGTATTGTTTAGTGACACTGCATCTTTCTTATTGTGCATGCACTCACGTGCGTTGGTGTTGGGATACTCCGAGAAAAAAATGTAGTTGTACACGTCTTAGGAAGCGGCATTTGTTCTCTAATTAACAACGGTTTATTTCATCTTTTTTTTGTGTACGGTTTGGTTTTGGTTATTGGCGTTTAAAGGGGCTATCAAGTACGCCTGGAAAGAGCGTGGCGAAGGTAGCCAGGCTGCTCGGCGAAAATCGGCACCAGCTCAAGCAACACCGCGACTACTCCGGTAGAGAAGAGGTAATTTTTGTCCTAAATAATGCAGGGAAATTTCAAGATCTCCTACACAGAGATGATAGGGCCTACAATTGCCATCACGGCACATATTGTGAGACACTGTTTTAACACCAGAACTACAAATAATGTCTTTTGCACCTGCCTGTTGTGTTGCATTACACTTTTCTAGGATCGTTGATTCGTGTTCAGATCGATCGGCGTGAGTTAATTTTCGTGTGTGAGTGTATTAGATCGTAGAGTAATACATTTCACGCACATCTAATTTGATACATGATTGTTACGGACTCGCGTATTCTTATCATAACTCTCTCTCTCTCTCTCTCTCTCTCTCTCTCTCTCTCTCTCTCTCTNACTCGATACTCGGATAAATCTAATTTTTAAGTCTGCCTTTGTGTCCCTGTAGGTGGAATTATGCGTCAAGATATTATCTGACATTCTGGAGCTGACCTTCAGAAAGAACATAGGTAGCACGGTTTCGGATGTCAAGGAGATTATGATGACAGCGTTGCGTACCATCATACAGACCGTTATATCGATTGATAGGGAAAATCCTCTGGTGGGGAACTTAGTCTCGGTTATGCTGGCCATATTCAGGTATTCAGGAGATCCTAAAATATGAACAAAGGTCGCAAAATATTGTGATAGAACGATCAGCATCTTTCATATATATATATATATATATAATTTTTTTTCTTTAATTTTTCAGACAAATGACGCCGCAACATCATTACGAAGTGTACATCAATCACTTTAAGACGAGGATCGATTTGCTCGATTTTCTAATGGAGATACTGTTGGTTTTCAAAGATTTAGTTTCCAGAAGTGTGTTTCCCGGGGACTGGTGCGAAATGATTATGCTCCAAAATAGTGTCATCCTGAAATCCTTACGGTATTTCTCGGGCACTATTAGAGATTACTTTTTCACCGAGTTCGAGCATCAAGCCTGGTCGAACTTTTTCCACTGCTCTATCGCGTTCCTGACTCAACCCGCCCTGCAGCTGGATACATTCACACCAGCGAAACGGAACCGCATTATTGCGCGTTATAACGATATGCGCAGGTGCGTTTCTCGTGTAACGTTATAATTAAACGAGATATCCGAAAATATCATTGCGATTAAGAACTATGAAATATAATTAAAAAAAAAACCATTTTATCATTTATCAAGGAAAACTATTCATAGCTGACATCTTGTGTATATTTTATTAAATTATTTTGTGTGTGTGTGTGTGTGTGTGTGTGTGCGCGCGCGCGCGCGTATAAAAGGAATAAAAAGCGTGAAAAAAAATAACATCTTTGGCACATTACAGGGAAACTGCATTCGAGATCCGGTCGATGTGGTTCAACTTGGGCCAACATAAGATACACTTTGTACCTGCTTTAGTCGGCGCAATTCTCGAAATGGCCTTGATACCTGAGACTGAACTGAGAAAAGCTACCATTCCCATTTTTTTCGACATGATGCAATGCGAGTACTACAGTTCGCGCATAGTGGAAGGATACGGGGACACGAAGCGTGATCCAGCTCATATCAAAGCTAACTTCATGGAATATGAAAACGAAATGATCGCAAAATTAGATATCCTGGTATCGTCTTTTTATCGTTCTTCGATGCTAAAATGCGTAACTTTGCCAGCAACGCAAAGCGACGCGACTTCGAAGTATCTTGTATAATCAGCTTGTCTACATGTCTTGATAGCATTTTTCGTCTTATTATTTTCTCGCGTTATATATATATAGAGTTTAATATTTCCGCTTTATCGCTCGTCAAATCGATCTTTTTTTCAAATATCACTCCTGTTCCAGGTGGAAGGAGGCAGAGGGGATGAACAGTTTCGCACGCTTTGGTCTCACGTCATGGGTTCGTTGTGCGAGAAGCATTCCACAATGCGAGAACAAGGTTTACGCTTTGTGGACACCATCGCTAAACTGATGGAACGCTTGCTGCAATATCGCGATATTATTCACGCCGAGTCGCAAGAGCATCGCATGCTTTGTACCGTAAATTTGTTAGAGTTCTATTCCGAGATTAATAGGAAAGAAATGTACATTAGGTGAGCGCAAAATCTCCTTTCGTTCCTCTCTTTCCATTACACTTTGATTAAACTTAAACGCCAATCGTATAGATTTCCTTAAACCTACAATTTAATGTAATAGTTGTTTGTGTGAAAATATACATTAAAAGATGCAATCTTATTTATTTACAGATACGTGAACAAGCTGTGCGAGCTGCATCTGGAATGCGATAATTACACGGAAGCAGCTTATTCTTTGAAGCTCCACAGCCAATTGTTAGCGTGGAGCGACCAGCCGTTGCCGCCTTTGTTGATATCACACAGGTAATCATCGTCGTGCAGAAACCGATGGCTCATCTATGAAACCTTGCTGAGTCAACAGAGTTAACAACACAAAAAGGAAATATTAAACGATTATACGGTTAATTTGTTCCAGGTATCCGTCATGCCAAACACACCGTGACTTGAAGGAGGCACTGTACAAAAATATCATCGAATACTTCGACAAAGGGAGAATGTGGGAATGCGCTCTAGCCGTGTGTAAGGAATTGGTGACGCAGTACGAGGAGGAGACGTTCGATTACTTGCAATTGTCGGTGCTGTTGACTCGCATGGCCAAATTCTACGACGCCATAGTGAAGCAGTTGAGGCCCGAGCCCGAGTATTTCCGAGTCGCGTACTACGGCAAGGGACATCCCGCGTTTCTTCAAAACAAGGTAACTCCGACGTTTCTCTCCGACGTCATATCAGACGAGTTTTCCTTCGCCTGATTTCCACTCGCGACTTATCTCTTTCTTCACGGTGATGCATCTGCGACAGGTGTTTGTTTACCGGGGGAAGGAATACGAACGACTGAGTGATTTTTGCTCAAGAACGCTGAATCAGTTGCCGAATGCAGAGCAGATGAGCAAATTGTCACCGCCCACTGCGGAAATGTTGGAGTCTAATCATCAGTACGTGCAGATCAACAAAGTGGAGCCGTTGATGGACGAGAAGAAGCAGCGGCTTAGCGGCAAGCCGGTCACCGCGGAAGCTGTTCTAAGGTGTGCATTCAATATATCGTTGTATCAAGAAATCAACGTACGCGGGACTCGATTGAGAATTGCACTGCCTATGAGTCGAAATAATGAATAAATTACAAATTGATCTGCATTGCATCGAAAAATGACATCTAGAAGTTCGACAGTAATTCAAAGCCTGAATCAAACGGAGATTGTGAGGTGAAGGGAGTTTGATAAGAATTCGATGGAACTTGTACTGCTTATATATTGAAATATCATCTAACTTACTGTTCGTGCAATTAGAAAAAGATTGGCTAATCGAGAACTGAGATATTTGTAACTAGACACTTTTTACATGGTGTTCCTTGAGAGATTAGCGTGTTGCTTTTAATTTCTATTTTTAACGGCTTGTATTTTCGGAACTTTCCTTTATCGATAAAAGTACATGTATATTTCAACTTCCTTTCAAATTAACATTTATTATTTAGATAGTGAATTAAATGTAGGAACGTAATTTAGCTTGATCAATATGAAATTTATGAATGGTCTCCTCGATGCGCCACTAAGAATACGGCACTGATAGGCGATGCATTAATGAAATCGCTTTGTGTTTATCGTTCTTCATGTGTCGATTCGTACTCTAGGTACCATCGTGTGAACGACGTGCAGCGCTTCAGATTCTCGAGGCCCGCGCCGCGGAAAGAGATCGTCTCGACGTTGTCGGCCGCCGGCGACAAGGAGAAAGATGCGAACGTCGGTGCCAGCAGTAGCAACGAGTTTGCATCGTTGTGGTTAGAAAGGACGGTGCTCGTGACGAGCTACCCGTTGCCGGGGATTCTTCGGTGGTTTCCCGTCACATCCAGCGATACGTACCTGGTCAGCCCGTTGAGGAATGCGATCGAAACGATGGAAGCTACAAATACTGCGTTGAGAGATCTCATTATTGCTCACAAGTTTGTATAACACATTCTCTTATGACTTGTAACTTCTGCAGTTGTTAGAATGACTGGTGTACCACGTTAGGCTTACTCGTTTACTTACGTATTTGTAATGCTATTAATTTTTAAGTGTGTGTGTGTGTGTGTTGTTTTTACTTGCGCAGGAGCGACCCCAGTTTTTCACTGAACCCTCTGAGTATGAAGCTGAATGGCATACTGGACCCTGCCGTCATGGGCGGTATCGATAACTACGAGAAAGCGTTCCTCAACACGGAATATAAGAACAGCCGTCTGGAAGAGAGTTCCGACCTTCTCAAATTAGAAGGGCTTATCGCGGAACAAATCCCTCTACTCAGCGTGGGTCTTCAGTTGCACAAAGCACGAGCTCCTTCCGAGCTGGCGCCGTTTCACAATCGTTTAGAGCAGTGTTTCACGTCGATGCGCGCTCACGTGGAAACCAAGTACGGAAAGAGGGTAAGTTTCCGTTAAATCCGTACATTTATATAATTTGTAAACATTCATTTATATATATATATATATATATAATATAATATAATATATATAATAATATATAAATATAATGTGTAATAAATAATAATATACATGAATATATTATATATTCATATAACATTCATATATATTTGTAAATTTGTGTGTGTATGTATGTGTGTGTGTGTGTGTGTGTATATGTGATTCATTGTATCTTCTGTAATAGACGTGCGACTTGCAAATCGAAAGCCTAACGCAAACTGTAACGATGCGAAGACCACCGACCTCAAGAGGAGACAATCACTGTCTGTCCGAGTCAAATATGATTAACACAGAGTAAGTGTCTCTATGTCTCACGGAGCATGCTCATATTTTTCTTGGAAATGAATTTGTATGTCTATGTACTAACACGAAAGTAACTAAGAAACTGATGCATAGCATGTCAGTGTCACATCATCATTATGATCGTCGTTACGTCGTAAGACGATATTGCAAAAGAAAAACGTGTTAAGACTGCTGGTTCATCGCTGCGACTGTTCTTGTTCGGTGACATCAGAAATGGAAAACGCGTGCCAAGAATTCTTGCGTTCTACTTGCGTTCAAATAAAAAGATTTACTCGCAAAATAACGATTTATCGACTCGGCACACTTGTTAAACTCCGAACACTTAATTAATAAATAGTCGTAAAATTAACAAGCAAAAAACGATCGACAAGTGTCGTTTTTGTGCATTTCTTTTTATTGGAACGTACGAGGCAAAAATTCTTGGCTGGCGTTTTCTCGCTTCTGACGTCACTGAACAAGGACAGAGACAGTTGTAGCGAGGGAAGACGAAAAGCCCCAACGAATCGTTTCGTATAAAACGCGACGTCAAATCCAATTTCGTTCATTCGTGGGTAAATGATGAATATCCTAATATAACATATCTTTAAGTACCGTTATCGATCCGTATCGATCCGAAATAAGCGGAGGACAGTCTCAGCGTAAACTCATACGTGTGGGCTCGACAGAATGTCCAGTCCACGGTTACATCCGAGACACTCTGCGTACAAATCGTAGAATAATTAATACGGCCACCTTGTAATTTATCCCGTTCAGCTGTCAAACTCACTCCAGGGTATCCTCACTCACAAGATCCCAAGTCGCAACGTTCAAGTCGCTTGCATCGTTCAATTTTAACAACAGCACACCCCCGAGTGGTGCTCAGAGCGTCAATTTATCAAGGTAACGTGTCATACATAGTGTTTAACGTTCAGTTTCAACGCTAAAAACCACTAATACCGAGCTAACTCTATCCGATCATTATTTATTTATTTACGTAGGTAAGTCAACCGTAACAACACGATTAAGCCGAGCCAATGAAAATCCCTGTACAACACATGGGCGAAAGCCAATCATGTGTTGGGATCTTGTGTAAACGTTCTCTCGGAGGAAAGAGAGAGGGAGAGAGAACACTTTTATGATTATTAATCTTTACATGCATGCATTTGTCACGGCATATGTTACCGAGGACTTACGATCGAAAAGTTAAACAATTATGAAATGCTAACATAGAACATGGTAGAAAAAGAGTGCAATATGATTTCAGGAATATTGCCGTTGGACCTGATAAACTCTCGTATAATACCTTATTATCTTTTCTTCGCACTTAGCACTTTTACATACATTTTCATTTACGTTTCGTACCTTTTGTTTAAGGCATCGACCCACCACTCTCGTTTCTCGTTTCTTTTTCAAATGTCAAAAATTATTACGAACTATTATATTTCTCTTACACCATGTACGCGCGTGTGCACCACTTTTTTTCACGTTACTTCACACGCGCGTATATCTCGAGATTAGGTGACGCTATAATAATAAAGTAGATTTATAATACATACACACAGGCGCGCACACATACAGTAAATTTCAATACAAGCAGCATCGAGAAAAAATAATGAGAAAAATTGTAAATGCTAAACATAAATCGAGATCAAAAGCGCACAGTGGAAGACAATAAAAAGATTTTTTCGAATGCTGCGTTACATCGTTCCTTCATACGATAGAAATTACACATTGTTTTTATTACGCGTTCGTTTTTCTCACACGTTTCACACACGTATATAAATAACGCATTAATTAATTTTTCTACACGTTCATGAACTACTTTTCTATCATCGATATTTCCGTTCATCTTGCTTTTCACCTCTGCATGGTTACGTTTTGCATTTTTTATACTGTCATCAAATAATGTTCCTGGAATATGTATCTCCTTCAACTGCCAATCTGCTAAACTTCCTAAGTCTACAATAACCACGATAGGTAATTAAAGATACGCACACTTGTTATGGATGCGAATGCGAAAAAAAAAACTCGATAGCGATATCTCCGTTACTTTTAGACATTTCTCTCTTACTTACCACGCTGATTAACGCGGCTTAACAAGCAAGAATGCAAGAACGCACATAACTGACAAATTTTCCGATTAATATTCTTGTAGTATAATTGCAAGTGGATTCGCTCGATCGACGAAATTGTTTCTCTATCCTATAACTTACGAGTTGTATCGTTCTATCGTTCAATAATTCACTCTCGTCTGTCTGCCTCGTTCCGTTAGAAAATCTCCTTTAACCAACCAACCGTCTCATGATTTTCAACACTCTCAATCTGTAGGAACAACTCAGTGCGCTCGCATATCTTGTCTACGGCCTCTTTGCAAAAGGCTTTGGGAAGCTCGAGTCCGGGGACGTACAAGAAGAAGGATTCGAAGCGCAGAAATTCGCGAAAGAGCGACACCGCGACCATAACGAAAACCGAGCAGCCGACCAGCCAGTGGTATACGACGGCCGAAATATCCCACAGTTCGACGGCGTCCATCACATCGTTGCTGTCTAGTCTCCACACAGCACCCGTATTCGAGCTTCGACAAGAGGTAAATGTGTCACATGCAAAGTGTTTCATTTTAATGGACACTTTAACGGTGGAATATCTTGAAAACGTAGCAACTGACGGAGAAATAGTTCAGGAAAAAAGTCGTAGGGTTTGACGGGAGATATGAGTCGGTGACCTTAACTTCGCTGTACAGCCAATAATTCCAGGTCAACTTCGTTTTTTCAGTAAAATCGTATAGATTTTTTTTAACACGGATCGATTCCTTCGTTCATTCCGCGTATAAAAGTACTAAGACAACGTTATCGAAAAGTAGATATTTTACTTTTTATTCTGATATTTTTCAGCACGAGATATGAGATATCTTGAATTATTAGCTGTATAAAGTTAACGGCGCCAACTTGTGTTCTCTTTTAAAACTCGACTTTTGTCTAAATTAACCATTTTTGTCAATTGCTTTCCAAGATATTCCATTGTTTCCATTAAAATCCGAATACCTTGTAATATGAATATGCACGAATATATATTTATATACGAATATACAAATTATACGGGACGTCGAATTTCGCCGCTCGCGCGATTTGAACATCACTACATGCGCACGCTTCCGCACAGCTCACGCCAAAACGTCCGCTGAGGTCGGAGGTGGAAAGAGAACGGAGGGTGAGCAATCGGTGGTCCGGCCAGTCCCAACATTATCTGAGGAACGTGAACAATGGCCTGGACTCGGGCAGCCTGGGCAAGGGAAATCGGGACAGCGTCGGCACGACCGACAGCACGGCGTCCGAGGACGACCCGCCGCCGCCGCTGCCGGTTAAAACACGCGAGGCCGATTACGGTAACCTCTCGGACGAATTGTCCTCCTCCCACCAGAGCGCGACCGGTACCCCCTTGAGCAGTCTGAAATCACTGGGACAATGGACGAAGAGCAAGCTGCCGACGCCCACCGACGACCACCGGGACGGTCATCACTCGAAGCCGCCGACGCCGCCTCCGAAGCCGAAGAGACCGGCTTACAGCGTGACCACGATCGTGCTTTCCTCCAATAACGACGAGAACAGCTCGCTCGCCGAGGACTCGACCGCGTAGATCTCCTCTGTAGAGAAAGAGCCTCGCATCTTGCCGCGAGAGAGAGAGAGAGAGAGAGTTGCGCACAGAATGTAAGCGTCCATCCACCGCGTTTGTCAATCTGCGTAATTCATTCGTTCCGTATCATCGATCTTCAGCAAAGAGTTACCATTCTCTAGAGTTAGCGTATTACTAAGCGTATTTCTTTGTGCCTTTCTCTTTCGGTTTAAGATAAGCGAATAGACGTAGGCTAATACTAACCACCACGACAGGCAGAAACCGTTAACCGTACGTGTAGATAAGAAAAAAGAAGGTATCACTCCACTTGTACCGAATATACGATGTTATATTGGGAGGGGGGGGGGCGAAAAGATGGTCACGGAATTGTCGAAGGACATAGCATTCTATGATTTATACAGTGCGCATGTGACGAGGCATACGACGGCGACGAGAAGCGCAATATTAGACAATATCGTGACATTTTTATATCTGTATCGTCTTACCACGTAACGGGGTTGTTCTTTTTTGTTGTTTGAGAAATTCGGGATCTCATGACACACGGCCGAGCACGGCCCAGTGATGGTTGTTTGCGCGTTTTGTGAGGATAACAAGAGTTACGAGCGGGACGAAGATGCTCGACGAAATTAAATCAGACAGCTCCGTACTCGGGTTTACCGGAGGAAGAAGGAAGGAAATATTAGAAGCCATGAGGAGCAAAACCACGGATGGTTTATAGTGCTATATTAAATATCGATGTTGTCGATATTAATATTGTTTGCGGGAGGATCAGATCGTCCGTTGATTTGCGAATATAATATTGTGAACGTACCGGATAACCGTTGGATGAGTGAACGCGGCGACGAAAGCTTTCCACGAGTAGATTCGGTGGCAGGAAATGCGTGCTCACGACAAAGACGTCTCACGAATTTACAAACATCGATCGTTGCGAGGAACTACTTCGGCGGCCGAATTGATACGGCCCGTCCAGTAAGAAGGAAGGTTCAGAATTGACTCCTACTGGCCGAGGCAATATTTTTCGCAGAGCATGGTTTTAGAGTTTTTTTAGAGTTAAGTAATCGGGAGGGAGTCGGAGGGGGGTTTTAATTATAAAAATGTTACCGGGATTCGAGGATCAGATTTACTCGCGTTATTCGCAATACCACCCGATGGACAATTTCATCCTTCCACAAGCAATATTAATATCGACAAATTTACAGCAGATTTTTGGCGAATGTTTCAAGACTTGTTCTAACCGTGTGTTTTCACATGCCTACTGCATATTAATTACGACTGTAGCATGCCCTGACAACGTCCATTGGTTCTTTCGATCAAAGCTCTTATTGTTCCTTTCGACACTTCGCTTTGGGCATATATATATTCGTGACAAATGGATATTTTTATAAATTTTGATATGAAATACGTATATACTTGTAGCTTTAATTGTAATAGTGAAACTTTGGAAACTTTTTACACTTTGTACTGGCCGTCTTTAAACGATTCGCTATCACACAATAATAATGATATAACAATAATAATAATAATATTAATGATAATGTGAAAGACATACTTTAAATATATATATATATATATATAGTTAAAATGGTTAACTTTTTGCATCTGTTGATTACGATTCTAATTTATTCCACGAATTCGATTTTTATAAAATAATTACCAGTAGTTATATTTTTATCGCGATTTTATTGATAGTTACTGTCTAAATATTATGAAGCCATTGTGATCATAGTGGTAAAAAAAAATTTATATGAGTTAATGTTTACGATACTGGTTAACAAGGAGACTATAGTCTTATATGTTAACTTATTTAAAAAAATTATATACGAGGGAATATTGATTGTTTATAAATATATTCAACGAGAAAGTATGCAGCATGCAATACTGTATATTCCTTCGACATTTGTTTTATAATTAAATCGAAATAAATTATTTAACCTGTAATACCGATTATACGGTCATAGTATGATTAATGATACCATGACAGCGTGTTTTCTAATTAATCGAGCACAAAATCAGAATAGACATTTAAGTGGATTATGAAGAATGTTTTTATAGGATCGATCAGGGTCAGCCGATTCGAACAGACGCGATATTTTCTTAGTTACACGCTCCGAGAGCTTTACAAACTTATAAACATCGGAAGTAAGTTGTTTATAACGTTAATACAAGCTATTTATTGCGTTTTTCATTATTATCACACACTTGAGTCTCGCACTATATATCATATATATATATATATACCAAAGAGATTAGTGCTTTATTTATTAAAAGTTTTACAAAACTATATGTATCGCTGGAGAATTAATATATGTCGTGTACTATATTGATATTTACATCTAATGCACGATGAGACAAAGTTAGAAAAAAAATAGAGGACTCGATAGATCATTAATTACTTATAACGACGACAATTGATGTTATAAAGATCTGTATTCACAATTATTGTTCTCATGTTAAAACTCATGGAACTTGCTTATTTGTTTGCAGAATTCAGAAACCTGCATGTATACGCATATACATACGTGCGTACACGCATATTCTAAATATGTATGTATGTATAAGTTGCATTTCTGAATACAGTTCTTAGTTTTGCCGCCAATTTTATTATGTAATTGAAGAATCACGATTATACACATTATGTAAAAATTAAGGAATCTAATA